GGGATTTATAAATTCAACATTCCTAGTACGAGATTCATAACTGCAAGGCTTGCACTCTATAATGCGTTATAAATCAGTTCAGCCTCAAGACGGAAGTCCCGTGCACTTGATGACGCTGTAACTTTGCGGTTTCAAACGTGGGTCTCAGAGAGACGGAGACGTTTGCTGCCATGCGAGTAGAGCTGCCAGGAGGGCAAGAGTCAGTACATCAGGCTGAACCTGATAGACGGCCATTTCTCTAACAATCACTCCACCCCTTCCCCCATTGCTCTTCTTGTCGTCTTGCTCGTGGCCCTGCTTCGCTTCATTTACTTCTAAGCCATAAGAATGACTGGTGACTTTTACTAAACTATGGGTTATTTTCCCTCAGCTGGGTGGAGTTGTGACCAGCATGCATTTCTCTGCCTATAGTATTTGTGACATGACTTTAACGTGCGTCACACCTGTTGACCAGAAACAGTTTGTGGTGTGAAAAGGCTTGGAAAAACTCTTCTCACAGATCCACATTCTGGAGTGTAGCCTATTAGTGAGGAATGTTGGTTACTATATTTAAATATTGTAATAGTCATCTCTCTCACACATGCTTTCTCGTTCTGTCAATTTTGTAATCTCAGAGCGTTCCTGTTTGGCTCGTTACATATACGATTCTGCCATGATGAAACTTGAGGTTCACATGCAGCTTTTTTTTCATATGTCGAACTTTCTGAAATTAGCATATTTGTAGCTATTTATTCCGATCCTTATCTTTTTTTAAATTTATTATTAAGTGCCCATTTGCCACATGGAATTGATTTATTGGTGAATTTTACTTCACAAGAGCAACCCCCCCAAATAGCCTACTTAAATTTAATAATTGGATTAAACTCATTCAAAGATTAAATAATTATTCGCAGAAACATTGCAAATAATGCACAAAACATCATAACATAATAAAGGCTCGGTATCTACTGAGGCATTTAAACCATGCTGAACTCATTGACCTAGAACAGATCAATAGAATACATCACGTATCAAAAAATAAAATTCAGATTTTTTGCCCCTATATTTTAAATACTTGGGAATTTTGGGGGATTTCCTGTTCCTCATTCGTCATTTTATTTATTTTCAAAACCTGAATGCCCAATGCACATATTTTTAAACTCACATGGCGTATTTCCAAGTTCACCTTTCCAGGAACTGTTTCACTAAATTAGTAGCCTATGCAAGTAGTTTTAGAACGCAACACACTAAACATGACATTAAAGGAGTAGTTCACTTTAAAAAACACTTTTGCTGATAATTTACTCACCCCCATGTCATCCAAGATGTCCATGTCTTTCTTTCTTCAGTCGAAAAGAAATTAAGGTTTTTGATGAAAACGTTCCAATATCATCTCCATACAATGGACTTCAATGGGAACCAAACAGTTCAAGGTCCAAATGAGAATTTCAGTGCAGCTTCAAAGGGCTTTAAACGACACCAGACGATGAATAAGGGTCTTATCTAGGACCCTTCGAGTCATGACTCAAAAAAAGATTTGTTCATTTTGATGAACGAGTTCGAACAAGAGAGTCACGAACGTGCATCACGGAACAGAGCAAGGCGAGTGTTTGTGCTTATAAAACTTTTTTATTTATTTTTCTAAATGACCGATCATTTCATTAGGTAAGACCCTTATTCATCGTCTGGTGTCGTTTAAAGCCCTTTGAAGCTGCACTGAAACTCTCATTTGGATCTTGAACCGTTTGATTCCCATTGAAGTCCATTATATGACGAAAATCCTGAATTTTTTTTCGACTTTTCTTGGATGACATGCGGGGTGAGTAAATTATCAGCAAAAGTGTTTTTTAAAAGTGAACAACTCCTTTAATAAGAAAAATGGTGCCAAAGAGTGAGAAAAAAAAAGATTTTATTAAATAAAAAGAAACACTGTTTTTGACAAGGATCAGGGATTTTGGATATTGCCATCTTTGTGGGGATATTGTGTCCCTATAGGGTTAACCTCAAACACACACACACACACACACACACACACACACACACACACACACATGAATTAAAGTACAGGGGAGATAGAGAATATTTTTTTATTCTAAGGTTGCTTTTGAAAGTTCATTTCCACACACATCTTAAAGTCCTGGCTACAAAACAAAAGATAATATAAAATTTTCAACTAAACTGCCATCAAGAGAAAAAAGTTAACTGAACATGACACTGAACACTTTTGACATGTTCTCATGATGAAACCTGCCATTAAGCAGTCTATTATAAGCTTTTCAGGAAAATGTAAAGGTAAAACATTTATGCAACACCTTCCACTGCCTTTGTGACAACATCCCTGTGTGACAACTAGCCCCGGTATTCCTTATGTGTCTGTTCAAAATCGATCAGTTTAACATATTAGCAAGGAAAAACATGTCAACACCTGTGAAATCTGTTTTATGTAATTCATAAAGAGCCTTTTGGATAGATGGCGTGAACAAACGTTACGTAGGCCCGTTTAAACCACGTGTTTGCGTTAGAAAGCGTTTGCGGTTGATATTCACTCAGTAGTTCTGCCATCTGGCGGTGCGTTGAGGAAACTCACACACTCAGCCCTCGGGGATCTTCTCTCCGACAGTTACTTTTGACATGCTTCAACACGATGTACAGAGAGAAAATACCGTTAGGATTTGGTTGGGAGTAACCCAAATTGAGCAGTAAGACAAACAACAATGTAAAGAGCGTGTTGATTACTGTGTGTGTCATTAATAAACACGAGGTGGTTGCAATGTAGGCCTATTAGACTATATCGCGTAAGCAGGAGCGAACTTTCGTCTTGGTATGAAAGAGAGAGATACAGAAAGGGTGGAATGTCATAAAGAGAGACATTACCTGCAGTAACTTGCCGTCTGACACTGAAATGTTTATTTCATCATGCTCGCAATTACACATCATAACAGGAACATAAGGTGCAGTGTGTGAGAATTACATGATTGGCGGTGGACAAGATACAAACTAAAATGAATTAATTAACATTCAGATTTTATTAAAGTATTAGGCTAACTAACTTAATCTTCAATGACAAGTAACACACAGTGTACACAATAAGTGCAGTCTGCAAGAAATGTTTAGTCTTTTTATTTTGAAGAAAAGATAAATTCCTGTTAATTTTGTTTTGTAAAGGTCAAATCAAAATGGACATTTATTTTAATGCAAAGTAAATGAAGAGCAATAATAAAATAAAATAAATGTACTGTAATCTTTAAATCAAAATATCTTCCTCCTCCCTTCTTACAGGGACATCTCTTCTCTGATGATGTGTTTACTTGCGTGAGGGCGGGGCAACCTGTCACTTACGTGAGATCGACCAATAGCAAACCACAAACGTCTAATCGACACCCAAAGGACAAAATCAAGTCCCGCCCTGAATTTTTTCTTGTTCAAATGTCACAATAGGGAATAAAAGACTATTGCAACCTTTGTTTAATGCCGACTTTAATAGAATAAGAAAGATTTGTGGGTATGAAAAGGCTATTTTGTTAGGCGAAAAAGAAAAGCCCAAAACATTAGAGGTGGAGATGTTTGGTCACAAAACGTCACTGGACAGGCGTGATCACCAGCGGAGCATCGTTTTTGCCTGTTTTGTTGGTACAGGGACTGAAGAACGGATAAATGGTCTCGGAGAAGTTGTCCATGAACGTGTAGATGTGCATCTTTGCGTCCACATTATAAAAGGACACTTGGCCTTTTTCGTAGTCCACAAACAGCCCAATCTTCTGAGGCTTCAGGCTGAGGGGTAGGGCAGTGGAAGGCTCAGTCCTGAAGGCTAAATTGTTCTTGTCCCGCAAGCTAAGAAACCAGTAGCCGTTGCTGGGGCTGACTGTGATCTTACCTTTCCTGTTGCAGGAATGACTGGCCACCCCCAGGTCCCAGTCGGTCTTTCCACCGACCTCTACCTCCCAGTAGTGTCGACCCCCGCTGAAGCCCTCGCGCCCCAGAACGCAGACGACACGGTCAAAGCGCTCACGGTTGTTGGGAACATGTTGGTGCCTGTCACCGCACCACACCTTCTTCTTGTCTTCTGATAGGAGGAGACGTGGATGAGCAGTGCTGGAGTCCAGGGTCACATCAACTGATGGAAAAAGTTCATTATTACCTTTTTATGTTTAGAATATAGTTTGGATTTAAAAGAGTCTGTGATTGGATCATAATTGCTGTGATAATTATGTTTCTAGCATGTTATTCATCAGGCTCAAATTATGAAAGAATGGTTGGGAGAAGCACGGAGAACCTCTTGATGGAAATAAATGTTTAGATGTTATTTCCATCAAGAGGTGCATACATTTTTTGGTCAAGATCTTAGAATAATGATGTTAAATACTGTAAAAAAAATTTATATATATATATATATATATATATATATATATATAGTATATGTAACAATAATTATATATATATATATATATATATATATATATATATGAAGAGTTCAGATGCAAAAGCCTCTAAATGCCATTTGAAATTTTCTTCTTTAATGATGATTTTTGTCAAACTTGTATATTTAACTCCAGTAATTTCACTTAAATAACAATTAATAGGTAATCATCATTGCCATTTAAGTGAAATCACTGAACTTAAATATACAAGTTTGACAAAAATCATCATTAAAGAAGAAAATTTCAAATGGCATTTAGAGGCTTTTGCATCTGAACTCTTCATATATATATATATATATATATATATATATATATAATTATTGTTACATATACTATATATATATATATATATATATATATATATATATAAATTTTTTTTACAGTATTTAACATCATTATTCTAAGATCTTGACCAAAAAATGTATGCACCTCTTGATGGAAATAACATCTAAACATTTATTTCCATCAAGAGGTTCTCCGTGCTTCTCCCAACCATTCTTTCATAATTTGAGCCTGATGAATAACATGCTAGAAACATAATTATCACAGCAATTATGATCCAATCACAGACTCTTTTAAATCCAAACTATATTCTAAACATAAAAAGGTAATAATGAACTTTTTCCATCAGTTGATGTGACCCTGGACTCCAGCACTGCTCATCCACGTCTCCTCCTATCAGAAGACAAGAAGAAGGTGTGGTGCGGTGACAGGCACCAACATGTTCCCAACAACCGTGAGCGCTTTGACCGTGTCGTCTGCGTTCTGGGGCGCGAGGGCTTCAGCGGGGGTCGACACTACTGGGAGGTAGAGGTCGGTGGAAAGACCGACTGGGACCTGGGGGTGGCCAGTCATTCCTGCAACAGGAAAGGTAAGATCACAGTCAGCCCCAGCAACGGCTACTGGTTTCTTAGCTTGCGGGACAAGAACAATTTAGCCTTCAGGACTGAGCCTTCCACTGCCCTACCCCTCAGCCTGAAGCCTCAGAAGATTGGGCTGTTTGTGGACTACGAAAAAGGCCAAGTGTCCTTTTATAATGTGGACGCAAAGATGCACATCTACACGTTCATGGACAACTTCTCCGAGACCATTTATCCGTTCTTCAGTCCCTGTACCAACAAAACAGGCAAAAACGATGCTCCGCTGGTGATCACGCCTGTCCAGTGACGTTTTGTGACCAAACATCTCCACCTCTAATGTTTTGGGCTTTTCTTTTTCGCCTAACAAAATAGCCTTTTCATACCCACAAATCTTTCTTATTCTATTAAAGTCGGCATTAAACAAAGGTTGCAATAGTCTTTTATTCCCTATTGTGACATTTGAACAAGAAAAAATTCAGGGCGGGACTTGATTTTGTCCTTTGGGTGTCGATTAGACGTTTGTGGTTTGCTATTGGTCGATCTCACGTAAGTGACAGGTTGCCCCGCCCTCACGCAAGTAAACACATCATCAGAGAAGAGATGTCCCTGTAAGAAGGGAGGAGGAAGATATTTTGATTTAAAGATTACAGTACATTTATTTTATTTTATTATTGCTCTTCATTTACTTTGCATTAAAATAAATGTCCATTTTGATTTGACCTTTACAAAACAAAATTAACAGGAATTTATCTTTTCTTCAAAATAAAAAGACTAAACATTTCTTGCAGACTGCACTTATTGTGTACACTGTGTGTTACTTGTCATTGTTAGTTAGCCTAATACTTTAATAAAATCTGAATGTTAATTAATTCATTTTAGTTTGTATCTTGTCCACCGCCAATCATGTAATTCTCACACACTGCACCTTATGTTCCTGTTATGATGTGTAATTGCGAGCATGATGAAATAAACATTTCAGTGTCAGACGGCAAGTTACTGCAGGTAATGTCTCTCTTTATGACATTCCACCCTTTCTGTATCTCTCTCTTTCATACCAAGACGAAAGTTCGCTCCTGCTTACGCGATATAGTCTAATAGGCCTACATTGCAACCACCTCGTGTTTATTAATGACACACACAGTAATCAACACGCTCTTTACATTGTTGTTTGTCTTACTGCTCAATTTGGGTTACTCCCAACCAAATCCTAACGGTATTTTCTCTCTGTACATCGTGTTGAAGCATGTCAAAAGTAACTGTCGGAGAGAAGATCCCCGAGGGCTGAGTGTGTGAGTTTCCTCAACGCACCGCCAGATGGCAGAACTACTGAGTGAATATCAACCGCAAACGCTTTCTAACGCAAACACGTGGTTTAAACGGGCCTACGTAACGTTTGTTCACGCCATCTATCCAAAAGGCTCTTTATGAATTACATAAAACAGATTTCACAGGTGTTGACATGTTTTTCCTTGCTAATATGTTAAACTGATCGATTTTGAACAGACACATAAGGAATACCGGGGCTAGTTGTCACACAGGGATGTTGTCACAAAGGCAGTGGAAGGTGTTGCATAAATGTTTTACCTTTACATTTTCCTGAAAAGCTTATAATAGACTGCTTAATGGCAGGTTTCATCATGAGAACATGTCAAAAGTGTTCAGTGTCATGTTCAGTTAACTTTTTTCTCTTGATGGCAGTTTAGTTGAAAATTTTATATTATCTTTTGTTTTGTAGCCAGGACTTTAAGATGTGCGTGGAAATGAACTTTCAAAAGCAACCTTAGAATAAAAAATTATTCTCTATCTCCCCTGTACTTTAATTCGTGTGTGTGTGTGTGTGTGTGTGTGTGTGTGTGTGTGTGTGTGCGTGTGTGTGTGTTTGAGGTTAACCCTATAGGGACACAATGTCCCCACAAAGATGGCAATATCCAAAATCCCTGATCCTTGTCAAAAACAGTGTTTCTTTTTATTTAATAAAATCTTTTTTTTCCTCACTCTTTGGCACCATTTTTCTTATTAAAGGAGTTGTTCACTTTTAAAAAACACTTTTGCTGATAATTTACTCACCCCGCATGTCATCCAAGAAAAGTCGAAAAAAAATTCAGGATTTTCGTCATATAATGGACTTCAATGGGAATCAAACGGTTCAAGATCCAAATGAGAGTTTCAGTGCAGCTTCAAAGGGCTTTAAACGACACCAGACGATGAATAAGGGTCTTACCTAATGAAATGATCGGTCATTTAGAAAAATAAATAAAAAAGTTTTATAAGCACAAACACTCGCCTTGCTCTGTTCCGTGATGCACGTTCGTGACTCTCTTGTTCGAACTCGTTCATCAAAATGAACAAATCTTTTTTCGAGTCATGACTCGAAGGGTCCTAGATAAGACCGTTATTCATCGTCTGGTGTCGTTTAAAGCCCTTTGAAGCTGCACTGAAACTCTCATTTGGATCTTGAACCGTTTGATTCCCATTGAAGTCCATTATATGACGAAAATCCTGAATTTTTTTTCGACTTTTCTTGGATGACATGCGGGGTGAGTAAATTATCAGCAAAAGTGTTTTTTAAAAGTGAACAACTCCTTTAATAAGAAAAATGGTGCCAAAGAGTGAGGAAAAAAAAGATTTTATTAAATAAAAAGAAACACTGTTTTTGACAAGGATCAGGGATTTTGGATATTGCCATCTTTGTGGGGACATTGTGTCCCTATAGGGTTAACCTCAAACACACACACACGCACACACACACACACACACACACACACACACACACACACACACGAATTAAAGTACAGGGGAGATAGAGAATAATTTTTTATTCTAAGGTTGCTTTTGAAAGTTCATTTCCACGCACATCTTAAAGTCCTGGCTACAAAACAAAAGATAATATAAAATTTTCAACTAAACTGCCATCAAGAGAAAAAAGTTAACTGAACATGACACTGAACACTTTTGACATGTTCTCATGATGAAACCTGCCATTAAGCAGTCTATTATAAGCTTTTCAGGAAAATGTAAAGGTAAAACATTTATGCAACACCTTCCACTGCCTTTGTGACAACATCCCTGTGTGACAACTAGCCCCGGTATTCCTTATATGTCTGTTCAAAATCGATCAGTTTAACATATTAGCAAGGAAAAACATGTCAACACCTGTGAAATCTGTTTTATGTAATTCATAAAGAGCCTTTTGGATAGATGGCGTGAACAAACGTTACGTAGGCCCGTTTAAACCACGTGTTTGCGTTAGAAAGCGTTTGCGGTTGATATTCACTCAGTAGTTCTGCCATCTGGCGGTGCGTTGAGGAAACTCACACACTCAGCCCTCGGGGATCTTCTCTCCGACAGTTACTTTTGACATGCTTCAACACGATGTACAGAGAGAAAATACCGTTAGGATTTGGTTGGGAGTAACCCAAATTGAGCAGTAAGACAAACAACAATGTAAAGAGCGTGTTGATTACTGTGTGTGTCATTAATAAACACGAGGTGGTTGCAATGTAGGCCTATTAGACTATATCGCGTAAGCAGGAGCGAACTTTCGTCTTGGTATGAAAGAGAGAGATACAGAAAGGGTGGAATGTCATAAAGAGAGACATTACCTGCAGTAACTTGCCGTCTGACACTGAAATGTTTATTTCATCATGCTCGCAATTACACATCATAACAGGAACATAAGGTGCAGTGTGTGAGAATTACATGATTGGCGGTGGACGGTGGACAAGATACAAACTAAAATGAATTAATTAACATTCAGATTTTATTAAAGTATTAGGCTAACTAACAATGACAAGTAACACACAGTGTACACAATAAGTGCAGTCTGCAAGAAATGTTTAGTCTTTTTATTTTGAAGAAAAGATAAATTCCTGTTAATTTTGTTTTGTAAAGGTCAAATCAAAATGGACATTTATTTTAATGCAAAGTAAATGAAGAGCAATAATAAAATAAAATAAATGTACTGTAATCTTTAAATCAAAATATCTTCCTCCTCCCTTCTTACAGGGACATCTCTTCTCTGATGATGTGTTTACTTGCGTGAGGGCGGGGCAACCTGTCACTTACGTGAGATCGACCAATAGCAAACCACAAACGTCTAATCGACACCCAAAGGACAAAATCAAGTCCCGCCCTGAATTTTTTCTTGTTCAAATGTCACAATAGGGAATAAAAGACTATTGCAACCTTTGTTTAATGCCGACTTTAATAGAATAAGAAAGATTTGTGGGTATGAAAAGGCTATTTTGTTAGGCGAAAAAGAAAAGCCCAAAACATTAGAGGTGGAGATGTTTGGTCACAAAACGTCACTGGACAGGCGTGATCACCAGCGGAGCATCGTTTTTGCCTGTTTTGTTGGTACAGGGACTGAAGAACGGATAAATGGTCTCGGAGAAGTTGTCCATGAACGTGTAGATGTGCATCTTTGCGTCCACATTATAAAAGGACACTTGGCCTTTTTCGTAGTCCACAAACAGCCCAATCTTCTGAGGCTTCAGGCTGAGGGGTAGGGCAGTGGAAGGCTCAGTCCTGAAGGCTAAATTGTTCTTGTCCCGCAAGCTAAGAAACCAGTAGCCGTTGCTGGGGCTGACTGTGATCTTACCTTTCCTGTTGCAGGAATGACTGGCCACCCCCAGGTCCCAGTCGGTCTTTCCACCGACCTCTACCTCCCAGTAGTGTCGACCCCCGCTGAAGCCCTCGCGCCCCAGAACGCAGACGACACGGTCAAAGCGCTCACGGTTGTTGGGAACATGTTGGTGCCTTTCACCGCACCACACCTTCTTCTTGTCTTCTGATAGGAGGAGACGTGGATGAGCAGTGCTGGAGTCCAGGGTCACATCAACTGATGGAAAAAGTTCATTATTACCTTTTTATGTTTAGAATATAGTTTGGATTTAAAAGAGTCTGTGATTGGATCATAATTGCTGTGATAATTATGTTTCTAGCATGTTATTCATCAGGCTCAAATTATGAAAGAATGGTTGGGAGAAGCACGGAGAACCTCTTGATGGAAATAAATGTTTAGATGTTATTTCCATCAAGAGGTGCATACATTTTTTGGTCAAGATCTTAGAATAATGATGTTAAATACTGTAAAAAAAATTTATATATATATATATATATATATATATATATATATAGTATATGTAACAATAATTATATATATATATATATATATATATATATATATATGAAGAGTTCAGATGCAAAAGCCTCTAAATGCCATTTGAAATTTTCTTCTTTAATGATGATTTTTGTCAAACTTGTATATTTAACTCCAGTAATTTCACTTAAATAACAATTAATAGGTAATCATCATTGCCATTTAAGTGAAATCACTGAACTTAAATATACAAGTTTGACAAAAATCATCATTAAAGAAGAAAATTTCAAATGGCATTTAGAGGCTTTTGCATCTGAACTCTTCA